ACTTTGTACAATCATGTGATATTTGTTCAAGATACAAAAGTCCTTGCCATTGACCTTATGGACTTCTTCAACTGTTACTAATTCCAAAACAACCATGGTCTTCCATTTCTATGGATTTTATCATTGATCTTCCAATCTCAAGTTCATATGACTCTATATTTTTAATCGTTGATTGCTTCACCAAAATAATACATTTTGTACCATATACAAAATCTATTTTAGGTGAAAAAATAGCTAGCTTTTCATTGACAATATCTATCGCTATCATAGATTGCCAAAGGATATTATATCAAATAGCACGATTCAATTTGTATCAAGATTTTAGAGAATCCTATTCAAGATTCTAAAGATAGATATAAAGCTTTCTTTGGCTTTTTATCCTCAAATTGATAGACAAAAAAAATGGATGAATCAAGTTCTAGAGCAATATTTGAGGTATATCAATAACTATTATCAAAATGATTGAACAATTCTTTTGTCATTGGCAGAGTTTGCATATAATAATTTGATATATTCTTCTATTCAATAAATATCTTTTTTTACCAATTATGGTTATCATCTATAACTTGATACTTTTAACTTTTCAAAAGTTGATAATTGTGTGGCAAAAGATTTAACAAATCATTTGTCAGAGCTATATGCAATTAAATAAAGTTCAAGGATGACAAAAGATCAATATGGATGCTTATTGCAAAGAGTAACCATAATTCAACATAGGTGATAAGGTATGGTTACTTCGTCGCAATATCAAGACTACTTGTCGTTGTGATAAGTTGGACTATCGTAGGCTAGGATCTTTTCTATTTATAAATAAATCAATCTTGTTGCTTATTGATTACATCTATCGGAGTCTATGAAGATCTATCTTGTATTTTATGTGTCCCTTCTTGAGTTGTATAAAATAGTGAATATCTTAGAAAGAAGATTAATATCACCTCTTCTTATAGAAGTGGATAATAATCAAGAGTTTGAGGTAGAAGAAGTCTTAGATTCAAGGTAGTGCCAGAATAGATTATAATAACTTGTTCATTGGCATGGATATCATATTAGTGAATGCACATGGGAGCCAACAAAGAATCTTGCAAATGCAACAAAGAAGGTTGAGGCCTTTTAACGATGACATCCATTAAAACCAAGATGAAGAATTGCAAAGATCCATGAAAGATGATGATCGCTTCTAGTGGAACTCATCCCTAGTAGGTGAAGGAGGGAGGAAGGAAGTAATATCATAGACATATATATTTATTTCAATGGTTACTTATATGATTACATAGAAGTAGATAAATATAGATTAATTTCATAAAGTCTTTTAGAGAAGCTTCTTAAAAGCTTCATAGATGTAATTTTGACTTTAGATGTATTTGTAGGATAGAAACTTCGCCAACCAGTTAACCACGTGTTAGTAGCTTGTGCAACAAGTTAACTCCATATAGTAGCTTATGGAATAAATTAAATCTATATAGTAGCTTGTGGAATAAATTAACTTTGTATAGTAGCTTGTGGAACAAGCTAACTATGAGGCGCATACATAGATAACTTGCCTTGCAATTTAAGACATGTGGCTAGCAAAGTCAACACATGTTGGAGGTCCTATAGAATATTGTCACATAGCTCTTAGTTAGAAAGTATATATGGAGGCAAGAGTGAAGCCTTCTTCACTCTTGTCAATGCCTTTATAGTCTTTAGTCTTGTTCCAAGACTTTCTAATCTTCTTGTTTTTGGCCATAGCCATTGTAGTTCAATATTATATTATCTTTAAGTGACTTTCTAGTTCCTTTCAATGACAGAAGAGTGTATTGAGGATTTTCTTTCTTCGAGATTCATATCCTTGATATAGGATCTGTTTTTGAACCAGGTTGACAACCAATCTTTTCTTGGTATCAATTTTTGATAATTTGAGATAAATTTTGCTTTAACTTATTGCTAATTCTCTTCTAAACATGTCAATTTCTTATTTCATTTATTTTGATTTGATCCATTTATACCTTTGTAAAGTACAAAAGGCATCATTAAGATTAAATGTTTTACTACCTTTCTATAATTTATCATTGTTTTTCTATTGCATCTTTCTACTGGGCTCTTCTAAAATAACATCACATTTTTTTTTTTTCACCATATAGTTGTTGTGCTACTAGACAACACTACTCCAATCCCTTCAAAATAGCCTCTTTAACCACTACCACAATTCCCTTAAAATAGCCTCTTGAAGCAACAACTCCACTAATACTTCTGCCCATACCACAAGATCCAATCAAACAACACATCAGCCCAAGTAGCTTGATGAGTCGTCTCAACCTCCATCTTAGAACCTATAAGCTTCATAGGATTGTCCAGAATGGAAGGCCTCGATCATGGACGAATACAGATCCATCCTAAAAAATGATGTGTGGCACCTAACAGATTTGTCCCCTGGAAAATCCGCAACATCCACAAGATGGATATTCAAAGCAATAATAAGCCCCAATGGAGAACTGTTGAAATGGAAAAGTAGGCTTGTAGTTTTCCGATCACATGGTACTCTAAGAAGCAGCCAACCGTCGCTCTGTCGTCATCCGAGGCTGAATACATGGCTTTGGCAGAAGCTTCAAAAACCGCATCCTGGCTCATCACGTTACTTGAAGATCTACACTTTGAAATACAAAGGCCAATTCGTCTTCACTGCGACAATATTGGAAGTATCACGATGGCTATTAACCCAAGGATAAATCCATGTACCCGTCACATTGCCACTCATTACCATTTTACTCGCGAGAAAATCGCAAGTGGCGATCTCGAGCTAGAGTATGTGCCTTCTCTCGAACAGTTAGCGGATATCTTCACAAAGCCATTGGGCTGGTCCTTGTTCGAGAAACTCAGAAACACACTCAATATGGTCGATATTGATAGCCTCGTCAGGAAATCCTAGACATCTCTACCTTTCTCCTTCTTCCGTTTTCTCTTCTCCTTCTTCAATGCTCCTCTCCTCATCATGAGCACCACAGAAGGCCATAGACACTCTCTGTGGGAGCTGACCCTTATGCTTTCTTGAATACCCCTTTACTAAAGGTTCTCATGGATCGTCTGCTCGAGAGCGTAGACAACCAACTCAAACACTGCCGATAGTCAAGCTCCAACTTTGCCCCCAATATCTCCAGTAAGGCCGCAATCTGCTCGTCGCGCTCAACTGGGAAGTTTAAATTTTATGTAGTCAAAGTAGGTAGACAACCTGGGATTTATTTCTCCTGGTTCGAATGCGAACCGCTAGTCAATCACTTCAAAGGGACTAAATATAAGGGTTTCCAAATGATGCGTGACGCCGAAAGCTATCTTCACAGAAAAGATTCACTTAAGCTTCCATTAGCATTGATACATGCGGGGCGGGGAGGAGGTGTTGAACATTGCCCTTGTGTTTGACGGCACGTTCTCTACATAGGGAATGTAGACATATTATTGACTTATATTGCTGCTTGAGCAAAATAATTCAGTTGGTTTTGTTTAGCCTATACGGGCTGACCTTGCGTTTCCTAGTGGTTATCTTTGACGTTTACCTTGTGTTGCTTATGTTATTCCATGATTATCATTTGTTTCTAGTCAACGGGGTAGGACAACTATTGGCGAGGTTCATAAGCATCTGATCACGAGGCACATTACTGGACACAGAACTATGTTTTTTGTACCCGGATGGAGTACCCAGATGCCCGTTCAATCTTAAAGCACAGGGTCCTAGAAACTTATATTCTGATAGTTATGGGCATTGTTTCAGGATTCATTAATATTTGGATCAGCCCTCGTGCAAAATTGGGTGATGTTGTAAAAACCATGACAGTGAATTTCTTTCCCTGTCTGAATTGAGAGCACACAATTTGGAGTAAAGGGAAGACGCATTCCAAATGAACCCACTTGTTGAGCACATCTCTGGAGTTGATTTTACTTGCAAGTGGGTGTTTGTGTTTGTTCATCCATTTGAGTTCAACTAATTGAGATGTAGAATGGTTGAGGTTTGACTTTGTTGAAATATGTTGTTGAAGACACTCTATCGTGTTGTGATTTTTATATATAAATATATATAAAAGAAAATTCTATTGAATACATAACTTTGTATTTTTTAGACGATAATTTTCAATTTAAGAGTTTCAGAATAGTTAGTAAAAATATGAACTACATTTTATTTTATTGTTATTGGTTTTTTGCATTATTCACAACTATGATTATTGGATAAGAAGTTGTATTAGATTAACTGATATAATATAAAGAGTAAACGTAAAACAGTATGTTAAAACTGTATAAATCCTCCTTCAAAAGGATTATTATTCCTCAATTTTAATGAATTGCAAATCTAAATAGAAATCACAAATTTAATTACTAACCTTTAAAATATGAAACCAACATATCAACCTAGAAAATAGCAAGCATTTTACACATAGAATTGTAATAAACCTCCTTCTAAAGAACTTATTTTATAAGAAAGTAAGAAAACTTGAAAAAAAATCATACACCACATATTTATCACGATCCACCAAATGAAGGACCACCATTGCTGCCAAATAAAGCCAATTGTAGACATTGAAGTGCTGAGTCCTTTTGAATATTCCTTGTGATATACGCCCACAAACTCAACCCAATCCAAAAATTAAAAATTAAATGTAATGAATGGGGAGAGGGGGATTTTCAACCATTGGATACCCTAAAAATACCCTAAAAATACCCCCGCAAAACCCAATAGGAATCCTCTCACGCAAGGAAAACGAAAAAGTAAAAGTAAAACCGAGAAAGAAAAAGGAAAAAGGGGAACGTGGGAACGTGGGGGAGCCCGAGGGCTGCTGCTGGCTGGTCCATTGTGTGGCCGTGGGTGGTCAATCCAGCAGCGTATTTTTACTACCGTGAGAGGTGGTGGAATCGGGTGGAAATGCGTGTGTTTCTTTTTCACTTTTGTGGGTTTTTCTTTTTTTAAAAAAATCCTTTTTGGATGGCGAGGTGTGTCTGTATGCGAGGCTCGTGGAGGAGGAGCGTCCTAAAGCGCGGCCTGGCTTGAGAGACTCACTCTGCCTTTGACTGTGGCGGATGCGCGTTGCTGCGCCCCTCCGGGCTCCGTGTTCTCGTCGTCGTTCGTTCGTAGTCTCTCGCCTGGACTTTCGTATAAGGTCTTTGGGTTCTCAGGTAGTGGTCTTGAGTTGGGTTATCATTGATATTGTGGGGTTTGGTCGTGTTGTGGAAATTTTGCACGGTGGGCAGCAGCTTGTGAGACTTGATGCAAATTGTGAAATGCCCCTGTCGTATCAACTTTCGTGGAGCTCTGAGGCGTTCCATGACTGCAGCAACGCATTGCGTGTGGTGATCAGGAGTTTCAGCTTCCCTGACATTGACTGGAGGGAGGATCATTTGCTAGTGTTTTTGCCTGAAGAGCGGAGTGCCAACGTTGTTGAAGTTCGTTCCGATCGGGTTTTAATTGCGTCACTGTGATCCAGAGGATTTTGCGTCACAATGGCGCAGATGTTGTTGAAAGAAGCGGCGGATTTGGGGTTCATGATAGCGTTCCGCTTCTATGGGCGAAACCCCGAAACAGGGCCAAGGTTTTACCACCCTCCACGTTCTGATGATGGCCGTGATTGCGCGGAAGCATCGACTGCTTCTTCATCCTGCAGTGTCAGAAGACACTCGCCGGTGAGGCGACATGGCTTGGCGGGGGCGGCATCTATCATTTTACCGAGTCTTTCAGCCCCAAGTTTTCCGATCCATCTCTCGAGCGGAAGCTTTCCAGATCTCGGTCAGTGCCCTCCCATTGAGATTCCTGTCCTTGGTTTGCTTGCTCTCAATGAATTGTATTGTTGATTACTTTTAAGCTTTGGAGATCTGTGCTATACAGACACTTGCATTGGACTTTTAAGGTATTTGAGCTTAGAAAGATATGCTTATTCGTCTCTGGGTAACCTGGGCTTTGCCGACGGTGCTGATCTATGTTGTTTTTGTTTCAGATGGAACTCTTCCTTCTCCGGCACCGCATAGTGTAGGAGCCCACTAACTTTAGCTCTTCATGGAAACCCTAGTGAGCATTCTTTAGTGCTGCTTGTCAGTTCAACACCTACTCACGATGCAATTATTCTGTGTCGTTTGTCCTGTTTTCCTGGCAATCGCATCGAATGGATTACTTAGGTTTTACAATTGTTGGACACAAGGATTTCTTTTATATTAGTGAAACTTTTGAAAGATGGACATCAATTTGTCTGAACGGATTCCACATTCATGAATATAAAACTCAGAGATATAGTGGAGTTCCGCAATATGTTGACGACGATGGGTAGTGATAGAAACTGAAGTTGGATTGAAGATTTGTGGAAACTGGTCACATTATTTTTTGAGATCAAAATCTCGAGAAGAGACTAATTCTTTCTTGTATCTAGTTCCATTTGATAAAAAAAAATTATTTAATGTCAATATACATTACAATATTGTTAAGAAATATTCAACGATGTGTAGTGTCAACATGTTTCTGTTTATGGAAATGTTAAATACGCTGAAACTCAAGTTAAGAGATTCTTAATGGTGTACCTCCTTCAGTTTCAATGAAATTTACATGGCTAGTCACTTCCTCTGTATGGACGAATCTCGTCACTAATCAGCAATTTTATACTTGCCATTGAGGTAATTCAAACAAGTCTCGCGTTGCAAGAAACCTATGCTTCGATGTGAACAGCAGCATCCCGTCTGACGATCTTCAATCATGTTGGCAGACATGCAAGTTATTTGAGACATTGCTGTAACACGTCTGACATGGTGAGCGGAATTGAGATGGGCTTGTAAAATGCAAGGCAGCAAGTCACATGGCTCAGTAGCGAACGTTAAAGCTTCGCCGTAGCAGATTGGAGGATTGAGAATTCAAGATGAAAAGTGCCTCATTTCACAAACTCTATCCACCTGCCACCAGACCAGTAAAGCTCGAGAAAATCGTGGAAGCAGAACTGTTCGTGCCTAGATTAATTTTGTCGTTCAAAGGATTCGATTCACCATGATGAGAATGCAGGACCATTGAAACAGCACCGTGTTTCAGAACCCTTCGATTGTACTGTGATTGGTTTCACGGTTTACTTGATGAAATTATCAAAAAGAATTCGGAATTCAAAAAAAGATTTACTGATGCCCATCAGATGGACATTGTGGCACCAGACTTTACTGTCTCATTGTAAACTGTTTGATGCTTGAATACTGAAGACACCTTCCGTAAATGTCACTCGCTCTGAGAATCTCGAGGTGAAACTAATTAGGTCTGACGGAGAAAACTGGTGTGGCGAGGAAGTAGTCCTAGACAGACTGGAAGTTGAAGTTAATATGAAACTCAATCGTGTACCTAGAAGTTCATTGATAGAATCCAATTGATGCAATCCGATGAACTGCTCCATCCAATGGTGTTGTCCGCGGGGATTCAGGATCCGAGAGATCTACATCCTCACTCAATCGAAGGCATTACGACCTGGGAACCGCTGGGTAGAGGAAAAGCATTATCCGCGTCATAAATCCAGTCGATCTTGTCCTCGAGATACAAATGCGCAGATTCCCGGAAGTCTGGATCAATTCCCACGGTGGCTTCGATGTCATCAACCATGCCCTGGAACTGGCAAGCTGTGCAGCATTGATTCCCTACCAATTGAGAGGGCTGAAACGTGCTGGCCAATAGCATGAGCTGGGTGGTGCCGAGGTTGAGGGCAATGGCGGTGGCAGACAGAGATTGGGCCAGAATGTCTCCATTGATGGCCGCGAGCCTGGCCGCGGGGACAATGGAGGTGGCAACTGTGATCTGGCGGAGCTTGCTCTTGTTGTCACGTTGAATTCCGATGTGGGTGTGCATCTCACCGCGACCTGGGGCGGCGCCTGGAAAGATCCGCAGCTGTGCAATCAGGAGGGCAATGAATCCCCATTTGCTAGCTCCCGCAACATCGCCCTGCAAGGACCCGGGAGCCAAATCCTTCCGAAAACTCATGCTTCCAACTTCGACATCGAAAACTGGACCGCGCTCATTAATTACCATCTGCGACAACATCTGCAAGCCTTGGTCTCGCTCTCAAAGCACAATATTCTCGTAGCAGCAGATCGAGTATTCGCAGGTCTCCTGACTTCGTTGTATCGGTACACTCAACAGGAGACAAGCATTGTTAGCACTCGCAACTTCCATTCTCACAAAATCCAATCCCCATTTCGACAGCTCTCAAACCAGATGACACAAACATAGTATGTGTCAATCTGGGCATCTAATCGAAGCTCCAGGAGTCCGATCGTTTCAATCCGCTGTGACACATGACGATGAATGGAAACAGACATATAAGCTTAAAAACTGTTAAGAAGAACAAATAAGCTTAACACCAACATAATATCAATATTGACAACTTGTTGGCACAAAAACAGTTTGTAATTGATCAATAAATAATGCTTGAAGACATAACCATTTGCATGTTTTTCTATGAATAAAAAAATAAATGAACGTGTTTAAATATGTATATTTATATGATTGTTGTAAATATTTCCTTAAGAAATTGACTACTACATTTTTTTATATATTTCTTTACCCTCACAGCGACAGCCACTGACTGTTTTGTCACTCAGGTTTACGGCACCAAGCCTTCCTCGAATGGCCGTAAGCACTGTGGCCACCATGATTTGTGAAGTGGTTCAAAGACAGATGTTGTAATCAAAAACCATAATCCTGCCAGCCCTTCAAAAGGAATCAAACCATTTCCACTGCGTTAATTCTGAACAACTCCTAGTTACCAACAAGTCTGACGTACAAAAACTGATCGACGATTCCATATGATATCACACCTGCATGTACACACGTAGTAGTAAAAGTTCTGAGGGCAGAAACATATCAGTTAGTATTTTTCAAGAGGGGTTCATCAGGATACGTCTTCAGCATTGATGCAGACTGAACATGTTTCACTTCACTGTTTCAAGTAGTGGATCGCCTTACGAATTTAAAGAGATATCTCGCTTCTGTGCCCCTCATCAGTTCGGATCCATCTTAATTTCAACGGTAATTCAGCCTCTTCGAACTTTCCAACTATGAAACAGTACCTTCGCGGGTGCGTCGGTGGCTTATTCACAGGAGTCGGGTTAATCTTTTAATACTCGCGGCTGCAACTTGACCAGTTGTTTCAGGACATGGTGATTCACTCAGCAGCGTTACTATTGATCAATACCATAAAGCTGCCTTCTCTTATTCTATTATGAGCCAAAGGCGAGTAGTGTACATGAGTTTTGAGCAAATCCCTATGCCTCTCTACTAGCTACATTGATCATCTAGTTAGGCCTGGCAACCAAGAAGCCGCAGATTTGCACCTGCTTCACGTTATCGAAGCCCAATACGCGCACCCAGCAGTTGGGGAAGGTCGTCTTGCACTCTTGAATTTCCCTCAACACCTGGGCAGAGTCATTGCACCCGAACATTGGCAATTTCCACATGGTCCAGTAGCGGCCATCGTAGTACCCAGGGCTAGAGTTGTTGTCCCGGGACACACCTTTTGAGTTCTGAAATCGAGACGCACAATTTAGAGGTTGCCAATCTGCAGTCCTTACATCTTACAGATCTTCGCAAAGTTGAGTGAGCGAAAGGCACTGGTTATCACTTACCAGGTCGAACTCGAGGCAGGGGATGAGCTTCTGCTGGATCATGTACTCCACCTGCTTGGCAATGGCCTCATCTGACAATGGGGGCAAGTACGAGAAGGTCTCAAACTTGGTCATGCCGATGGGGTTCCACACCTGCGCACATGGTTTGCGTTTAAAACTGTGCCCTTAAGAATCAACAGAGCTTCCCCCAAGTATTGCTTCTCAAAAGCAGGAGCATTGTATAGACGTATGTGAAGTGAACAAAATTTCAAGACAATCAGATACACCAGACTAGGAATCACCCACATCACAGAACACAAATCAGTTGTCACGGCTGCTACACCTGCATGCATTGCACACGGCTGCCGTTCTGAACGGAGCTCAACTTCTGGCTCTTGGAGGCGAAGAAGGTGGGTCCCTTGAGGCAGGTGGAAGCCTTGACAGTGACAGAGTCAGAGGAGGCAACCGACGAGGAGGCCGCAGCGAATACAGCTGGGGCCACAACGGTGGAGCAGGCAACAGTGGACGCCATAGTGCAGAAGCTGCTCCCCTGCTCGATGCTGGGAGAATTCAGAAAGTGGTGAAGTGAGCGATAGGTAGCGAGTTTCTGATTTGATCAGATCGTCTGCAGGGGCGGTATTAAGCACATCGGGGGAGGGACCGCTGCAGCAGTGGTTTGCGAGTAGACAATCAATCATGTCCACATGAATGGGATGCACGACTTCGGACTGGATTGGGCCGATTCGACGAACAAATGGTCGTTGGCGGCAGTTGTTTCAGGCCGTCCGGAAACTGGGTCTGAGTCGACTTGGACGAGCATGGACGGATTTTGGACAACGCGTGGACGAAAGGACGACGGTTGGAAACAATAGCCAATGTTGGCGTTAATTTGAAGCTAGAAATGCGCCGCTTTGGGGGACACACCTCCAAACTGGACTCATGTAGTCATCCAAGTATGCATGAATGAAATACAAGTTTTTGAAGTGGGGAATCCAAGGTGGGCTGCCTCCACTCATTACTAAGGGCTTGCAAGAATCGTATATCTCTATAGGATTGTAGTATCTGTGTAATATTTTTCGTTTCCTCTGATACAAGACTTTTTAGAGAGACTCGCGCTTCGGAGTGCAATCTCGTCACTGAATTGTAATATTTTGTGTCCTTTGAAGCAGAGAAAAGCTGTTCCTCATCAATAGTTTACATCGGATAATGCTGAGCTACTTATCTTGTTCCTCTCGCTTCTTTCGAGCTGGTAGCTTGAGGGATCTTAGGGCTCCATGATATAACCGGGATAGCGGAACAACTGTAGATGAATTTGAAACCTTGGTGCTAGACTGTAGTCAATATGGCCCTCTGTTACATGCCACTAGTTGGCGAGTCGCACATTGTGCTGAAATTAGCTCTTCTTCCAGTATTTCGGACGTCTGAATTTCATATCTTTTGCTAAGTCTTTGCTCGTCTACAATACCCTATAGAGTGAGTACAGTTAAAGTTGCAGTTTCCTCAGAGTACTTCACGATGTCCCGGTCGTTCACAACAACGCGCATGCCGGAGAGAGCAGATTTCAGCTCAATTCTTTGATTATGCTTCCTATCTGCACACTTTCTGAAAACACAATGGGCATAAAACACAAAACGTGAGGCTGGTACCACTTGGTCACGAGTTCGTTGGTTGCAAACTCTTATCACAGGATCCCATCGCGAAAGGTAGTGATAATAAAACCTTGAACAGAATCACTACAAACAAACATAAAGAATCACAAAGAAAACGATACATAACATCCACAGAGTAGCGTAAGGAGCATGTTACCCTTGGCTATAGCATGAGTAAACTCACACATTGCTGCAGTCACTTCGGAAGCAGCAGCTGCTGCGACATTAGATGCTAGAGCAACTTCATTTGGAGGTGGCTCAACAAGAGGCCCTTCAGTGAGTGGAGATACTTTATCTGTTTCTTTTCCTCTAATACAGTGCGAAGTATTCATATTTTGAACTGAAGAAGTAAATACACCTGTAAGCATGGTCATAACAAGTACTAGTACCACATCACAAACACACTATGAACAGGATGCGATGTTGTTTTAGTCCCATTACTTTTATTTCAGGATTGACTGCCGAAACAACTAAAGTGGATTTTTTAAAAAATGTGTATGGTTAACACAATGAACTCACTGATTCAACACATAATTCAATACGGATGCATCAGCATTATTCCTGAACTGATAGTGTTTGTTCGATTTCTTCCTGTTCGTTCCACACTTGCAGTTCTCAGCAGGTTCAAATTGACGGATACAAGGTGATTTGTAAGACAAACTGAGATTTATGAGAAACTACGATGATGATATTCAGGTTGCAAGCCTTAGGACGCATTGCACAACTCGCTTTTTGGAGTCATTGATTATTTCATGAATTTGGTGAGTACATGGAACTATTTAGCATGAGTTAATTTCGTGTGTAGTACTGAATGCTAACCCTGCCAGTTTGTGTTTGTTATTATCATGTCATTATCAAATAAAAAATTTATTCTTTTCATTTTTAGTAATATTATTTTGAAGTTGCAAAATAGTGATCTTAAATATTCTTTTAATTACACTTCACATGATTGTTCTATAAACTAATCTATTTCAATCTTTTCTTCACACCAACAAACTATCAACAAGCACTTCTCTTAGAACTAATTTGCATCCTACAAAATCTTAATAATAATTTTTATTTAAATAATATGTTTTTCTTTTTAAATTATATAATTTTTTTCTTCAACTAAATATATATTTTATAAATTTTTATATATATAAAATTATTCATACAACCACATCATGATTTAGAAAATAAGAATTTACAACAAACATTTAATTCTAAGTACTTGACTTTTTATTAAACTTAGATTTGCACCCTTAGCTCATAAAAGATAAATTCTATATAACCAACCATTTTTAAGCATACTAATATATATATATATATATATATATATATATAAATCAATCCTTATCATCAAAACTATCATTACACTCTTGTTCCTTGTCTTTATTCTCAATCCTTATATCCATTCTCCATCCAAATCTTTTGATGTCATGTGGTAATATAATTATATGTTAAAAAATAAAAATATGGATGTTATTATAGAAGAGCCCAATAAAAAGATATAGTAAAAAGACAAAGATAAATAATAAAAAGGTAGTAAAAAATTTAATCTTAATGTGGTTTTTTTATAGAAGAGATTTCTATTTACTTTATAGGAGCTTAAATGAGCTAAATCAAAGTAAATGAGATAATTAATTAATATATGCATATTTAAGAAAAAATTAAGAATAGGTTTTAGCAAAAATTACCTCAAAATATAAAGAATTGACATCCAAAGATACGCAATTGTAAACCAAGATCAAAATCAAATCGTAAGGCACAAAACCATGTACCTACGGCAATTTTAGGATTCTTGGAGTGATTGGAGAGTGGGATTTGAGAGCAAACATAAGAAAGGTACTTTTGAATATTGGTTTCAAGTAATTGGAGTATGTAACAACTTTGTAAAGGCTTTATATAATTAGGATTGTTTTTGAATAATTTTGGATTTTAAAAAATTCAAAGAGTTTGTACTTTGGACAATTGGATAAAATTTATAGATGATTTATAGGTGAAATTTTGTGATTAAGTAATAATTATTATATGTAATCTATGTTGCAAGTTTGAGCTTAATTTAATAATTTATTCAAAGTTTATTGAAGCTCAAACATATTGAGGTCTTGGAAAATGGGGTTTAAAGAATCAATGAGGATTTTTAAGATATCCATCAGTTTGCTAATTGGATTGAAATAAAATTTTGCATACAAGTAATAAACTTGACTTCTAACAATCTTACAAAGTTTTAGACCTATTGAATAGTGAAATTAAGAGTTTTTGGCTCTAAAATATTGGTACTAAGGTTGGAAAAAGAAGCCGGCCAACACCCAAGCAAATTTTAGGAGTTATCTTCTAATTGGTATATTCAATCTTCTTCAAATGTTTTTATGCTTGTTGCTAGCTTAGTTATTACAAAGTATACAAATGATTAGTTAAAATCAATATTTAAATCATTAGTTATTGAGATTTCAATTTATTATAGGAATTATTAAGAATATGTTTAAGATTTAGAATTTGATTAGAAATTGATTAAGATTGGTTTAGGATTTAGGATTCAATTAGAATTCAATTAGGATTTATTTATGATTTTTTAGGATTTGTTTGGAATTTATTTAGGATTTGGTCTAGGATTTGGTTAAGATTTATGATTTGACTAAAATTTGGTTTACGATTCAATTAGGACTTATTAGGATTTCATAAGGATTGGTCTAAGATTTAGGATTTAATTAGGATTTACTTAAGATTTATTTAAGATTTTTATTTTAGAATTATTTAAAGATTTTTTTTATTTCTTTAAAAGTTTCTATTTTTAATATTTCTTTAAGATTATTGTTATTTCTTTAAAATTTTATTTTTGTATCTCTTCAAGATTTTATTATTATTTTTCTTTAGGATTAATTATGACTCTTTTATGTTTTTTTTGTAACTTCTTTTAAATTCTTTTGGATTGGATAAAATTGGATTAAGGTTGTTAAGGATTATTTAAGGTTTATTTAAGACTCTATTAGACTTAGCAAGATTTTGTTGTTGCATTTCTACTTATCTTCCATAGTTAGATGTCTTGTTAAGTACTCACCATGCATCCGTAGTACTAAGTATTCTTATTCAAACAAGAATACACATAATACAATTGGTTTGTATTGGAGAGGTAGAACCTGCTTCACTTGCCTGCAAAGGAGCTGGTCAAAAAATTGGTTCAATACTAAGAGCTGGTGTTGTCGTGAGGTGCTGATGTGCCCAGTCATGGTTCGTTTTGATTTGCAAGGAGTTGCTAATTGGTAGTGCAAGAGAGATGCAATGGCCAATTGGCGGTGATGGTGAGTACAGGAGTTGCCTGTAGTTGGGGGCGAAAACAATAGTTGGCAATTTGAGATTTGGCATTAGTGTTTTTTAAGTCTTGATTGGTTTTAATCGATCTTGGCACAGGTTCTGTGGTCATTGGAGGGGCTTATCAAAGTGATCCAAAAATCTAGTCCATAATAGAGTCAAGCAAATTTGTGGAAACATGCTAGTTTGTTTGGTGGAGCCCTTTTTGGTAGAAGACAGAGTGGAGTCGACGCTTTGTACTTTGGAATTGCTATTTGAAGGTGCTTTGAAATCTAGATTTGATTGTTTCAGATCTAGATTGAATTTCTTCTGGAGTTGAATCGTAGTACTCACCAGAATTTTGCTCAAGTAGGTTTGCTTGGGGTCTGAAGCGGTGTACTTTTGGAATTGGAACCAGAGCCGATGCCAGGCAATCCCGGGCAAGGTGCCCAGCCTTATGACCATGGTGGTATGCTATGTAATTGGTCCTCTTCTGATGATGGTGTCGATTAAACTACCTGGATCCGCAAGCTGAGCCCTGGCGAGAGCATCCTCGTATAGCGTTCCTGATCCGAAAAACAAGGGCTTCTTAATGCTGATCGAACCTAAGCCTCAATTTGGTTTCTTCCATCTATAAGCAGCTGACAGGTTTTGGAAGAGTGGGAGGTGAGCGTTCATTTCGAATGATTCTCACTAGGGTCTCAAATCTCA